TCCAAATCCCACCGGACTGGTAGTCCAGACCAGCCACTAAATCCCACTGGATTGGTGGTCCAGATCAGACTCCAAATCCCAACAGATTCATGATCCAGACCAACCTTTTAATCCCACAGGACTGGCTCAGCTCTTCCATCCCTCTGGGAATGTCCCACCAATGTCCTCCTTGGTGGTCCAGACCAGCCCCCAAATCCCACTGGACTCCTGATCCAGACCAGCCCCCAAATCCCACTGGATCTGTGATCCAGACCAGTTTCCCAATCCCACTGGGTTGGTTGGAACCTCCATCCGACCCTCCCAGTTCCCCTGAACCATCTCCCCTCCTCCACCAGTTCAGAGAGGATCCAGCACCAGTGCAAACCCAGTTCAGCCCAACTGGGAACCCAGAATTCCCATTTTCTCCTCGACAACTCTGTGCCCTTGTGGTCCCTATTCCATTTGGGATGTTCTTACTTGGGATCCTCCAGCCTGGGGTTCATGTTGGGCTCATCCCGGCCCATCCCAGCTGGACGCTCCTCGTGCTCCTGCTCCGCCACGATTTCCAAAGTCATCTCCAGTTTGCCCTGGATGGGTTAAACAAAAATTGATATATTATCCCAAAAAAATAAAAAAAAAATTAAAAAAAAAAGGAATAGGTGAGGAATGAGTGTGGGATGGAAAACAGGGATTGAGGAATGAGGGTGGGATGGAAAACAGGGATTGGGGAGAGAAAATGTGATTTGAGCACAATCAAATCAATCCCGACAATGACATCGACGCTCCCAGAATTCCAGAAATCCCTCACCTGGAACTGGAAATACTCCAGGAGATCTCAAATGTCACTGACACCCAAATTTTGGAGGGCAAGCACAGATTCCCAGGATCACTGAGGCTGGAAAACCCTCTGGGATCAAGTCCAACCTCATCACCACTCATCTTTCCTGACTCCCCAATCCCTGATTTCCCTGGAATAAACTCAGGGATTTTTTGGTTGAATGACCAAATTCCCTGCCTGGATTCCCTCACCGGGATGAAGCAGCCAACAAAACCTGGAACCAGCGCCCAAACACCTTTAAATCCATCCCTGGGACAGCTGGAATTTTTTCACGGTGCTTGAGACACGAGATCATTGGGAATAGTCGGGATACGGAGCCAAATTTGGTCGCACATTCCAAAAATTACAGTGAAAATCCCACAAAACCGATCGTTCCTCCACATGGTTCTGGAAAATTTCCGGCCAACCACAGAGGGTCCAGCTGGATCCATTGAAATGGAATTTCTTGCCCTGGCCGTGGCCTCCCGGCTTGGATCTCCTCAAAGATTTAAGGGAATTCTGGAMTGGTTTGGGATGGGAAGGAATCTTAAATCCCATCCATTCTCACCACATCCCACTATCCCAGGTGGCTCCAATCCTTATCCAGCTTGCCCTCAGACACTTCCAGGGATGGAAATTCGGAGTGAAAAATCCAATGGAAAACATGGAAATGTTCTTTACCGCCAGGATCTTCTTCTGGTCCTGCTCAGCCATGCAGGGCCACCAGCCTTTGACGGTTTTCTGCTCGAAGAGGGACACGAAGCGGCCGGAGGACAGGGAATCATCCAGGAGATCCAGGGAACACTTCTCCGCCGTCTTGGCAGGCTTGGGCATCCTGTTGAGATCCATCTGGATGGATCCTGCAAGGAAGGACATTCCCGGTGAGGATTATCTCGGTGGGATAATCCTCAAAACATGGAATATTCCCATGATTTGGTGGACTTGGGCCACCCTGACCATCTCATTCCAAACTCCCAACTTTGCACTTAAAATACAGAATATTCCCATGATCT